TGCATGCGCATGCAACCCCACCTCCATGCATTTCTCCTGCATGCGGCCTGCCCCCACCCATGACTGGCAGACATCTGAAGACCAGCTGGCCAGCAGGAGGCACATACAGAGTGGAGTTGAGCTGGGGTAATAGCATGCGTGCCCGCAGAGGGCTCTGTGTGCCACCTGTGGGACACGTGCCGTATGTTTGCTATCATGGAAATAGGGTGTTCAGGAGAATAAACTTTGAAGAGAAACAAGTAAAATTTGAGATGAATTTTCCTTTTTCTATACACAGCTGTAGCCTTATAACACATAATAATCAATACAATAAGGACATCCTTGGTTGAAATATCTTACTTCTGTATTTTTAGATGTAGAATTTTATAATCCATCCAAATCAATGTGATTAAAAAGGTAGTGGATATTTCTGAGTGTTTTGAAAATAATAAAATTTGCAAACAAAGCCAAATGAAATAGATTATTGTTTCAAAAGACAAAGGAAGAGAAGGGAAAAACAATTGCCATTAATTTTAATGAAGTGGCTGTAGGCAAAATAATTATATGTATATTGAAGTACAATGCCTATAGAGTATTGACTGTAGCACAGGACGATTTTGCTAGAAGAAAATCAATGAAATCAAGAGATCAGATCTGTCTTTGGTGTAGCAACACAAGATAGTTGAACATAAAATTGAGACAGATAGCTTGGAATGTAACAATTTATTGGGGTTTCTCTTCTTAATTCCCCAGTTCTGGCATTGGTACAATATTCAAGAGCAACAGAAAGAACAAATGTACAATGATACAAGAATAATTAGCATTACTTCCCCCCACCGCAAACTGGAAACAATCCCCTTCTCTAATAAAAATGTCAATGGGTGATTAAATCACCCACTGTGTAATGCTTCCCAGCAATCCACTCTAGTTTAGCCAGTTGAACACTGGATTTTAAAAAGCAACCAAGCAAATGCAAACACTATATTTAAAAAGTAATTAAGACAACATAGTATTAGATAACATTTAATTCGTGTACAACTGTTTCATTAAATGCATTTTTCTCATAATACAAAATAGTCATCAGATATATAGCTCTTATTTTTAAAGCCTATTTGTATGCCAAGAGGTAAGAACTTAATAAATTTAAACTTTAGCTTGCTCTTGACCATAAGGTCTCAACTTTGTAAAAACTAAATGCCCAAGCGTATGCATATTCACTCAAATATCTGAACATTTGTAAGACCCACATTAATACTTCAAACAAGTTACAAAACTCTTACATATTATTAGGGACCACAAATCCATTAATTCTCTTAGAGATTTCATCCTATACGAGCATCAATTTTGGCAAGATTGAGACCTGGTCTTAGGAAGCCTAACAATGTATGCAAAAAAGGAATAAGCACCAATTCTATGCCTCCCTGTAATTGCTCATGTGAAAGTACGAGATTTTCCTTGAATAGACCAGTAGGACATATCGTGAGATATATTTCAAGCGGTTTGGATATAACATTCGAGAGTTTAGGAAGAATAAAACATTAGGAACGTCACTAGAGCTGTTAGTTATGTTAATCTCTGTGTGATAGCACTAAGATTATGAAGAAAATCNCTAAAGAAATGGTTTTAAGTTGAGGACTACCTGTACTACTTGTTCCACAAAAGCAGCTTTGGCATCTTATTTGACCAAAAGTTTCCATCTACCCTGTTTCCCTGAAAATAAGACCTCACCGGATAATAGGCTCATGCGTTTTTGAGCGCATGCACTAAAATAAACCCTACCCTGAAAATAAGCCCTCCCTAAAATATCGCAACACAGCAGGCACTATGATTCATATGGGACAAATGGTATTCCTATTCAAACACGTTTTCAGGCTATATTTAATTTAGTGAGAACTGGCTGCTGCTAACGTATTCTCTCTTGATATTCAACACATCCTGAATTACTCAAGCTGTACAAAGTCACTAGCATGACAATTATCTTAGGAGAAATTAGTGTCATTTCCTATTAATGTAGGTGTACCAGATACTTACACTCTGTGTCATCACTTACCATTCAGTTATCCTTTGAAATGGAAGGAAGGCATTGCTCAGGGAAACAGATATTCAGGAATATTAGCCATAGTAGGCAGCATTATCTGATATCAGTAAGTAGCCTTAATGTTATATGTATTTTATTTCAGTATCTTTGTAACTCCCCAATACTTCAACTTGGACATACAACAGAATAACTATCAAGAATTAAAAAAAACAACCTGTTAATAAAAAATATCCTGCATGGCCACCCAAATCCTTAAATTTGGATTAAAAGCATGACAAAAATTGGCATATTATGCGTTTGACAAAATGCCAGGAAGGGATAGGGAAATATTTGTTGGAATCACTGGCATAAAATTCTTGAGGTTATTTTTGCTTATTTATTACCTATGCTAGACTTCCTTTAACATTTCTCACTTAGATTTTTGTCCCAGTTACTTCAGTAAGGAGGTTGCAACAGTATATATTTTAGTGACATGCACTGCAGAACAACATCATTTTAACACACACCAAACAAGAGAATAAGGAATTTCTTTCAAGATCTCCATAATTAATATTGGCTGAGTGTCCTGGGTTCTAGGAGGGTGCAGACTCAAGCAGGATCCAGGTACTTGGTTGGAAAATGACTTTTTATTGCATATGCAAAGTATATGAAATGTGGTGTTTGTTTTTTTTGCTTCCCATCAAAAAGTATCTCTTACTTAGTCTATAAATGGAAGCAAATAAGATGTGGTACAACTAAGGTCTCTGTAAGAATTATGATAGGTATAGAAAATTCAGATAGTTTGAATTTTGACTTTTTTTTTTACTCAATCTAGGAATAAAAATTTCAAGAAAGCCTGTCAGTTGGTAAATCTGTACTTATCTTTGACTTGCTGATCCAAGTATTTTTTCCGTATTAGGGGTAAGATCAATGTGTAGAATTTAAATGAGTGAATTTATAAGATATTAACTTTGGTAAGGTTTTCATTGTGTAAACTAAGTTACCTGTTGGGAAAGGAAGATATACTATAATTTGCTACATGTTCAGCTTTATTGCTTGGCCTTTGTTTTAGCTTGTTACTGGTTCCAAGATGTTCAGAATTCAATCCTGTAAGCTCAATTTGAAAGTTATTGACTTTACATATATCTTGGAAAACACTGAATTATTTGTTCTGTCATCTATTTTAATGCCTGCACTTCATGTTGTAACATATATAGTGTACGGGAAATACTGGGTTGCATGTAATTTTACCACTGGAAAAGCTTACAAAACAAGCTTACTCTAAAATAACAGTTTAATATGAATTTTTTAAGTTAACCTTGATCTTTAGAACATTGTGAATTTATAAAAATTAACTGTAATGTGTTTTCATAAATCAACTTAACCTTTTCTTATCTGGCCTATTTTAATCCTGATGCTTTTAGGTTCCATAGCTATTAGCTTTGGAAAATGTTTCATTCTAAAATGGTAATCCACTTTTACAAGAAACTAATGAAAACTAAAATTTATATTAACTATTTTTGTCTACAAAGGATTGCTGTATGTCATCTATGTGTGATTGAATTAAT